TTTCTTGGTTTTCACTGCTTTCCATTCCTTTCCATTGTTTTTTTTCATTCATTTCCTTTGTTTCATTTTTAGTTTTTATTGGTTTTCGTTGCCTTCTTTGTTTGTTTTCATCGGGTTTTTTTCTTTCTCTTTATGTATAGAAAGGGAAAAAATTATACAACTTAAATATTTATTCAAATATGGAAAAATGTGTACACGTTGAAAAAAATAGTTACAAGATTTTGTCTTTCAAACATATATTTTGTTATCAACTTTCTTTACACACATTCTACATCTTTTCTATACATTAGGAACCTTTTTTATTCAGACGTTTAACATTTTCCAAAAAATGATAGACATTTTGTTATAGTAATTTTTTATGTCTACTTTTTTCATACACATTGTAAAAAACTGCATACATTAGGAAAAAAATTGGCAAATATTTAACAATTTCTAAATACATGATTAACTTTTTTTCGTATATGTGTTTTGATGTCTATTCTTTCAATAAACATTGTACAATTCTCATATACATTGGAATATTTTTATATACATGTTTAACATTTTTTCTAAGTATATATTTAGAATATGAGGACATATAAGAAAAATTGAAAAGATAAGGAAATAAACAAAGCTAAAATATTTAAAAAACGAAAATAAAAAAGAGCACTCAAGGCTAGTGGTCCCCGCTAGGCCAGCCCATTCGGCGGCAGCTTGACGCGAGGCTGCGCTGCGTCTTGCTAGACTTCCTTCCTATAGGAGCCCTTCTTTGACGCTCTTTTGCATCAAATTGGCAGCGCCACGCACAGGCGACAGCCCGACTGGGCCGGCCCATCGAGATATACAGCGACACGAAAAAGAAAGCTAAAATTGGCGACGTCATGTCTGCCATCGAGATATACAGTTAAACTAGCATTGTTGGCAGGACGGTGGCCGACAGCTTAAAGAACTAAACCGAACTGGGCTGCTGTAACAAAGTGGAACAAGACCCGAGTTAATTACTGTAGTGAACGTCTTCATAAAATGTATATTTTTAAAAAGTCCAATCATTTTTGAGTAACTGAGCGAATTTCAGAGACAAGAACATAATTTGGAATATGTGAAAAAAAGTGGACTTTTTTAAGAAACAAGAATCATATTTAGAATTTTTGAGCAAATTTAAAACAGCGAACATTTTTTGAATTTATGAACAAATATTTGTAAAATGGAACATTTTAGATATTCCAAACAAAAAAATGAAACCATGAATATTTTTTCAACTTGTGAACATTTTCTTAGAAAATGGAACATTCCATGAAAAAGGAAAAAAAGAGAAAAAAAAGAGAAGAGAACAAAAGAAACAGAAAAAAAATAGACAGAAAAAAAAACTGGATAGAAAATGAAAAATAAAAACAGGTTCAGAAACTTCTAGAAGGTTCCCAAAACCAGAAGCCGAAAGCTGTACGTACGCTATACTTGGGCTGGCCCAAATTGCTGGTTAGGTCGCCCCGCCAGTGCGATTCACGCACTATTTCATGCGGTATGCGTCAAATAGGGTTTTCCAGGCGAACGACATTCCTATATAGCGCTTCAGGCGTCCATTTCATTGCATTTAGTAAAGGGCACTGATAGGCGCCGGCGGACCGGCCCAACTTTCGGCCGGTCGGTCACTAGCCGCCCGATATGTGCGTGCGAAACCGCACGATCTGCATAAACCTGCAGTCCCCTCTTTGTCATCCTCCGCACACCTCGCGGAGAGAGAAAAAAGAGTCACTCGCGCAGCATGCCGCACCCCTCTGCATCTCGCTCCAGGACATAGCTCACCATCTTCCCTGGTTGCAGCTCACCGCCGTCATATCTCGTCACAGAACAAAGGTCGATGCAGCTCCCCTGTCGTTCTCGTTCATCAATGGTAGTAGCAAAAAAAATTGACGGATGTAGCTGTCCACGTTGCCGGTTCCGGCAAAAATCAACGATGCAGCTTCCCTGTTCATGTTGGCCCGATCAGCGGTTCCAGCAAAAAATTTGTTGGATGCAACAAAATCAATACATGGTTCCAGCAAAAATACCTCTCTTCCCCGCCACCCCTCTGTTGGTCGTAATACCGTGCACTGCTGGTTGTAGCTCTCCGCAAAGCTGGTTGCAGCTCCCCGGAGTGCCGATTCCAGCAAACGGCAGCGTGTCGTCGCGGCCCTGGAGCTACCAGTTCCAGCAAAAAAATGCCGATTGCAGCAAGGACGGATGCTGGTTCCAGCATTTGGGCATCGCGGTTGTAGCTCAGGGCTGAGCCGGTTCCAACATCCCATGCTGCCCCATGGTAGCAAGACATCGTCGACGCTCCAGCAGCGCCCTTTGCCTTATGCAGCTCTCGCTGAGCCGATTGCAGCTCGCGGACGAGCTGGTTCCAACATCTACCCATTGATCAGGGCGCCGCGCGTCTCCCTTCTCTTCCACAGCCACCCGCACACCTAACCGCCATGAAGGAAGGAGGAGGAGGAGGGGGCGGGGAGAAGCGGCCATGACTATGATTCGGTGCCATGACATGAGAGGGGGTAGGGGCTGAGAGTGACGCAACGGGACTATGGGGAATGAACGGTGCCAATACGGGGAGAGGAGGTTAGTGCGAGCGCAGCGCCGAACTCGTCGATACGGTGGCGACCATGGCGAATGAATAATGGGGAAGAGAGAGAGAGAGAGAGAGAGAGAGAGGTGTGAGCGATCTGAGAGATGAGGAGATAAGATGGAGGAGAGAGGCCGCGATATTTCTGTTTCCTTCCGCCGCTCGTGTTCGCATGGGCCCCATCACGCGTGGCCTTGAAGGGGACACATGCAGCAACCTCGCGTGGACGCGTGATCAACCTTAATCACATGGTCAGCGTGCGTCCGGTGGAAATCGTTGAGCCGGTCCGCCGGCTACAAATGGTTCCTTTTAGCAAACGGGCGCACACCCCTCCTGCTAGCTGGCTTGACCCATCCAATTTTTTTTCTTCTGTTTTTAACTCTCAGAAAAACTGAGTGAGGGGGTAGGGTAGGATTTGAACACACGACGTCCTGTTCTTTGTTCCCCACAGTAACCAACCGGACACCCTCCATGTTTGTTTACATCTTCACTATTTCCTTCTTTCTTTTTCCTTTTTCCTTATCTTGCTCCTGTTTTCCTTTTTTGGAACGGTTTGTTCAGTTTTTTATATTCTTTTTATTTTTATTTTTAATTTCTTTTGCTAAATGCGTGAACTTTTTTTTAAATGCGTGAATTATTTTCAATATCAAAGATTTTTTTTTCAAAATCAACGAACGTTTTCCAAAATTGATGAACTTTTTTTAAATGCGTGAATTCTTTTTCAAAATCTATGATCTTTTTTCAAATTCAAAATTGATGAATTTCCCTGAAAGTTGATGATTTTCTTTCAAAATCAATGAACTTTTTTCAAAATTGATGGAGTTTTTAAAAATAGATGAATCTCTTTTCAAATTTGCCAAAAGAAATTCAAATTTGATGAACTTTTTTTCAAAATCGATATTTTCTAAAAAACATTGAAGACCTTTTTAAAGTTTGTGAACTATTTTGAAATTTGATAAACTTGTTTTCAAATTCGTGAACTTTTTTGAAGGTTGTGAACTTTTTTGAATTTGGCAATTCTCATTCATGTTCGTAAAGTTTTTTTTGAAATATGCGAACTTTAAAATTCGGATCACATTTTTTAATAAATCATATTTTTTCTAAAATATTTTCAAATAATTCAAAAATATATATGATACAAGAACAGTATAGTGCAATTTTGTGTTTACTAACGTGGCTAGAATTATTCTTAAGCTTTCCTCGCTGCTACAGATACTAGAGTCCACTGGTTCAAGTTACGTCTAAAGTTCGAATCTTTTGGATACGCTCTTTTTGGTGTTTTTTGTGCGCTGTTATACGATTTTGTTGCTCTGCTCGTCTGTGGGCCCGCCCACCAGGCGCTACCAAACAACTGCAGTTGCATGTACTGAGCATGTCTAGACTAAGCATGTCTCAAATGGGAACAACTATGCTAGGGTGGGAACAGCTACCAAACACACCCTAGTGATCGAAAAAAATGTTCGCAAAAACTAAAAAAATGTTCATAATTTCGAAAATGTTGGCCGTTTGATAAAAAATGTTTGCGAATGCAAAAAAAAATCATGGATTTGAACTGGTTCACAATTTCAAAAATATGTTCATGAATTCACAAAATACTCATGATTTCAAAACATATTCACGAATTTTAAAATATGTTCGCAACATGAAAAGAAAAAGGAAAACAGAAAAGAAAAGAGAAAATGAAAAATAAAAAGCAAAACTGAAAAGAATAAATAGAAAGAAAAAACAACGGAAAAAGAGAGAACCGGTTCAGGAAAGGTTCTAGAACCTTCCTAAAATATGTGTGGGGAACATCCCGGAATGGGCCGGCCTAGAAGAAGACCACGCGCACGGAATAAGCTTTCAAGATGTTTGAGCTGCAGGAGCCAGCCATATTGCTTCAGTTAGCAGCATTTCTGACAGTGATCCACCCTAAAAGAAACGTTATCGCTGTGATCCCAGACTTATAGGCTGCAGATCCTCATTAGGCTGTAGTCAGACTCAATCTGCATGAAGAATAGCCATTATGGCAGGAAATTGACATTTGTTTGTGCTTCAGGATTGTGCAGCACTCACAATCCTGTATACCCAGACGTATAGGCTGCAAGCGAAACAAATGGCAATTTCCTGCCAGGGACAATTGAGGGTGCTGCACAAGATTGAAGAATATGTTCCACAGATGCTCACCTATGACGGTAACACGAGAAACCACAAATTTCGGAATAATATTACGTTACTATAACCATTATTACATAATAACCGGGAGGACTTTACACTTGGACTGAACGTTACAAATGGATATGGACTGGAAGTGTGTGTACTCATGTATTGTGAAACACAGTATATCTGTAGTGAGGGTCCGAGAGACCAAGTAGTACTCATGAAATGAAAATGGGACCCGAGGGGGCAATCTCTCTGGTTCACGCAAGAGCTATCTTCCAGATTACATTTTCATGACCAGCCTGTAGAAGTAATCTCTGAACCACAATGGGGCATAATACAGGATCGTCAGAATAGCAGTGAACTGCCCATAGGCGAACCAAGCAGGAGGATTTTTCTTAAGAACCAATTTGACGACTCTCTTTGCAAGGTCTTCTGCTGTAACACACCCGGCACCCTGGGATATATCCGTCCTGGCTCGAAGTGATTTCTCATATTTTTTGTAGTACTTCCAGTCGTTTATTTGATCATACTTGTCTGCAGAATTGCTTCCTATGTTTGACTTTGTACCTCCTGGGGCAACTATCATGACATTTATGCCAAAATTTCTTAGTTCCACCCTGTAACAAATTAACAATCAAATACCTACCAAGTTAGAATGGGAGATAATGGAGAAATGCATATTCAAAGAGTACAAAATGTGCAGTAACAAGTTGAAAGAGCTAACCATGCAAGAACATGACATGTGAAATTACAAAGGAAAAATCGGAATAGTGTTCCTATGTTGTATATGTTGCCATTGGGTTCTTAGATCTTACGGTTTCTGTCAAGCAATCATTTCCCCACATGATTAAATCATCTTGTGATATTCAAGTAAAGGTACAAAAAACATCTAATACTAACTACTTAACATAAACTAACTGTTAAGTGCTCTATATTTCCCCCAAGTTAGATTAGAACTCAGAAAATTAATACGATATCAATTTTTTCAGATGAAGGATTGGAATATCACCAAAGAACTAGCCATGGACAGGGGTGCATGGAAGCTTGCTATCCATTTGCCAGAACCATGAGTTGGTCGCGAGATCTTATGGGTTTCACCTCTAGCCTGCCCCAACTTGTTTGGGACTAAAGGTTTGTTGTTGTTGTTGAAGGAATTTCAATTTTAAGAATGCATACAAAGTTGCATCCATAAGTAATGTTTCACCATCGGCTTGTACCTTCAGATGCTTTAAGTTGTCCCATAAAAATGCTTTACATTTCGATGGAGAGCACAAAATCACTCTAACAAAAATCCTTGAACACACAAACCTTAATGTATCGCTCAATGCATGAAGAGCGGCTTTTGATGCCGAATACGCACCAGCCCATGGTCCTGGAGCCAAGGCTGTAATGCTTCCAACATTCACAATTGTACCTTCTTTTCTTTCCATCATATGGGGAATAACTGCTTGAATCATCCTCATTGTTCCTGCATGTGAAAAGACAGGTAAGGTCATTTAGTCACACAAATGCAGGTCCAAATATTAATTTAGAAAAATAGTATGTTACTATTTTTTTTTGAAAAGTGACATTACAAAAATGAACCATCCAATCCAAGCAGAGGAACAGAAGCATTAAAAGATCAACACCTCAATAGTTCATATAGGATGAAGTTGTAAAGTACACACATTCAATTGTTATCACTAAGCTTTCAGATGAGAGACCGTCTTAAAGGTGAAACAACTGCTGGCCTTGCTGAATTATTTTCCAATCACTTATGCAATTAGAGATTAGACATGTTTATCACAGGATTAATGGACGATATAGCATCCGTGGGAAGAGACAGGTTCTGAACTCCACAATTTCAATTGCCTCCCAGACGCCGTTAACATCGCAGCAGCAAGCACACTATACTTCTCCTATTGTGTTCATTTATCTTTAACAGTTTTGCTATTGGGACAAGAGATATTCTTTGAAAGACAACTGACCTGATCATTTCATCAGTGGTACAGGATGCAGCATGTCCTGCTATATGTTTTAAAAGTAGGGGTATACAGCCCCTTGTTCACTTCAGATTGTAATTCAAGCTGTAGGCATCCTATACTAGCTGCTGTTGTAATATGATTGCCAATGTGATTCGTTAAATCTCAGTCCAATAAGCTAGATACTGACAGCATACCACTGACTACAGTCTACCGTACTTCTCAAGTCTTCTGGACATATACTACATTTGAAGCACTCCCATGAATAAATTCACATATTTCTATCCTCCCTTCCTTCATGGCGAGACGGCCTTGGGGTGTTTTTTGTTTTTTAAAGAAAGAGGACAGCCGTAGATAGATCCAACTATAAAACACTTTTGTTTCACCATGAATCTGTTAGAATCCAGAATCCAAAATCTTGTCTACCTTAGAGGACGTCGCAATCATCAAGCTGCCAAACAAACAGAAGAAACAAACTATCCTCGCACAAAAAGAAAACAATGATTTTGGTAGCCTACCATAAACATTGGTGTCAAAAACCTGGTGGAACGACTCCATGGGCACCTCAGCCACCGGCGCGACGAGGTGGACCCCCGCGTTGTTGACGAGCACGTCGACGCGGCCTAGCTCCCGCAGGGAGTCCTCAACGGCGCGGCGCGCGCTCTCTTCGGAACGCACGTCGAGCTCCAGAAGCAGGTACCGCGGGTCACCCTCGAGCCCGCGCATGGACGCGCGCGACCGCGCCGTGGCCACGACCGCACACCTCTCCGCCGCGAACGCGCGCGCCATCGCGTGCCCGATGCCCCCCTCCGAACAACCTGTCACCAGCACCACCGGCCGCCCCCGCCCCTCTCCGTCCCCTCCGGGAACCGCCATCGCCGGGATCCTGCCTCCTTTGGCTCACGCCGGGTGGCCGGAAAGACGGGATATTCCCGTTTCCTTTGCAGTACTACTACTGTAGTGGGAGTCTGGGAGGTGTGACCTTTTCCGCTGACTATTGGTGCGTACTCGCGTCGTGGCCCATAACGAGGATTTTCCGCCTATTTATCAACAACGTGGCCTTGTCGATGTTTTTTTTATACTCCCTCCGTTTCAAAACAGATGACCCAACTTTATACTAAAGTTACTACAAAGTTGAGTCATCTATTTTGGAACGGAGGGAGTAGTACCTAAGGCCCCGTTTGATAGCTCAGTTTTTTTAAAGTATTCTAAGAATACTGCAGTTTATTACCACAGTTTTAATTACCATGAGGTGTTTGGCTGCCACTAAAAACTACTATGTTTCTAATACTGAATTATTTGTAAAATCATGGTATTATCTCTGTATAAAAAAAGAACCCAAGACCTCTTTTTTTTCAAAAAAAACTCGTGAAAGAAAGGCCTCATCGTTATCTTCTTCCTTGCTCCAAGCCGCTGCTGCCCCCTCCTTCGTTCTCCCGTTGCTTTCGCTCGGCGAGCTTGTTCTGCCGGATCTCGTTCAGTGTGGTCCACATGCAAGCTGCTAGCCGGAAGCGGTGCTGACCTTTGCCTCTGTTGCGGTGCCCTGTATGTTGGCTGCTCGATCGTCGGATCGTCGTACACCGCCTCTCTACGCTGGCTGCTGGTCCCTGCCTCAGCGAAGCCCCTCTAGCCCCGCCACGCTAGCCTAGAGGAAATAGGCAAGCAAATCCTGCTGGACTCGAGCTTGCTACTCAGGCGTATGGATGCAAAGCTGATTTGCTGCTCTTCTTGATCATGCGATTTTTGTCTACCTATGCTGGCCACAACACACGAATGTCCATACCCAACTATATAATCCACTCTGATCAAGTAAACTATTGAGTGATTGCAACTAGCCAGGAACATGCGTGTTCGTAGCTGCTATCAACTGCCTAGCTAGTTAGCTAATTTACATTGTTGCATAAAGCACCAGCCAAACAGGTCACAGTATTCCCAATACAGCAAAATATTTTGATATGTCAAAACTGTGGTATCTTGCACCTACGGACTAAAATACTGTGGTTTTTTAATACTTCAGTTTTTGCAATACCTTGCTATCAAACACAGCCTAATTCATCTCCAATTCTTTTTTTGAAAGTAATTCATCTCCAATTCTAACACGTAAAATCAGACACCATATCCGTTCGCGTACTAGTGAAGACTAGTCCGCGAAAAATGCTATGGTAGCCTTTCGTCTTTAATTTTTTAAGTCTGGAAACTCAAAATAACAACATAGCAAATCGTATATGATTGAAAATATTGACAGTAGTTCAAACTTAAAACTAGCACATATGTTCTAGTTGTCCTCTTTAACCGCCCAAAGATGCTCAATACAATCTTCTTTGAGTTGCTTATGGGGTGCTCGATGCTGAATTTGTTGATGCATTTAAACAAAGTCATCAAACGTGTTCTGATGGGGAAGTTGGATATGATCACTCATTTTTCTTGAATTCAAGACCCGCGACAGCATTTTCACCCTCATCCTCTATGATCGTGTTGTGCATGACCATAGAACATGTAATCACCTCCATAAGATTTCTGAATCCCATTGTTTAGCAGGTCCACGAACAACTGCAAAACAGGAGCACTCAAAATGCCCTCTCCACATCCTTTCTAAATTCTTCTTATCTTTGGGCAAGTAAGACCATTTCTGACCAACTGGCTCAGAGATGTTGACAAAAATAGCCCACGAATGATAGATACTGTCAACCAGATAATAGGTCATATTGTATTCATGCCCATTGACAGTATGGTTGCAAGGAGGAGCTTGTCCTTCAGTCAACCTAGCAAACAATAGAGACCGCTGCAGCACACTGATGCCATTGTGAGACCAGGACATGCCAAAGAAAGCATGCCAAATCCAGAGGTCCCGTGATGCAACTACTTCAACAATGATGGTGAGCTTCTTAACATGGCCCTGATATTAGCCTTGTAGAGCTATTGGGTAGTTCTTCCATTTTCTGTGCATGCAACCAAAAGATCCGAGCATACCCGGGCACCTTCTTGCTTCGTACATTGCCAAGAGCCTCTCGGTGTTTGCAATAGTTGATTCTTTCAAGTACTGAGGTCCAAACACCCCTATCAGAGTGGTAGAAAAATCTGACTGTGGCGTCTTCGCATGTGCTCTTAGAGATCCGGAGGTATTCATCCCATGAATCTGCGGCCGTACCATATGCAAGCATCTGCAATGCAGCCGTGCACTTTTGGTAACCAGAGAATCCAATTCTTCCTATCTTCTATAATACGAAGCAGTCACCGTAGGACCGGACGCCATTGTAGAGGATATCAAAGACACTTTTTCGTATCCGAAAGCATTGGCAAAAAATGTCCATGAATAAGGCATCACAGGCAAAATAGTTGTCCATTAGCGTCAAATGGCCCCGTGCGCTCCTCCGATTGCGCACTTGATGACCCTTGATCGATCCCTCGAAACTGAGAACATGCTTTTCTGCAGCCTCCGCTTCTACAAGCACCGCCTGCATCATCACCGTTTCATCCACATAGTCCTCCTTATCGGATAAGTTGTCGAACAATTGAACGTAGTGCTCGTATATGTACTCCATTTCCTAATCCTTTGCTTCAAAGAAGGGCAAAAAAATTAGCACGGGCATGTTGGACATGGTGACCCCCGTAGGGGCGGATGGTACCTATGCGACAGATGGACGAGAGGTCTGAACCGGTGATGGAAGACAAGCAGTATGGAGGCCGGGCGTAGCGATGGAGGTCACATAGTTCCATGAAGGACTTGGCGGGCAGCCATTGTGGAAGAGGAGCGACGTCGGCGAGAGAGAAAGCAGATGTAGAGCAAGAGGAAAGTATGGAGACGCGGGTCCGAGCGGGGTTTTGGGTGGGCCGGGGTGTCGCAGTCCTATGTGGATGGTGTCCAGACTCCCACAAAGCCCCCTGATTTGCTTCCGGTTTGTGATAAAATGAAAGTCCGAGCTAGTCCGCGGACTGATGCGGTATGATGTTGGATGGCAAACTGCGTCCGAACACATCAGTTTGTATGCTTATGGGAGGTTTGATGGTCTGCTTTGGAGATGTTCTAAGGTCATTCCAACATTGTCCCTTGAAAAAGACACATTGTTTTTCCACTGGACCAGTCCACGGACATGGATACAGAACCGATCATCCAACCGCACCCTCTAAACGTCCACCGCCCGTCCAGGTCCGAAAATTTTCATTCTGAACGCATAGCAATACGAGAAAATGAAAGTGCAATGTTCATAGTGCTGTATCACAACCAAAAAGAGGTGGATGTTTAAAGTTTTAACATGCGCACGATCACAAAATAACCAATCCAGCAGTCCGTGCAGAAAAGGACATTTTCCCCTCCCATATTGGCTGTTCAAGCATCTTGCTCACTCTGCCGCCACCTCCTTACCATCTGCCTTCACTTCGACCGCCAAGCACTTCAACATCTTCACACGAAAAACACGCACAATCATCGCCGCATCCGAATCCAACTCGACCATCCTCATGGTGAACATTTTGGTATTCTTCGAAGTAGTCGCAAGCTCAACCCTCATTTCTTCGAGGTCGATCTTCTTCTCGAT